GAGGTGGTCAGTTGTGGTCGTATGGAGAAAAAACCGTGAGAAATGATCCAGAACCCGAGACTTAGAACCCCTTCCTCGCCCGTACATTTCTGCTTTGATGACTCTCATCGGCGCTGCGTCTTCGCCTACGTTCTCTCTGCTGAACGACTAGAGACCGGCGAACGGCCAGACAGTCGATGGGCGTGTCGCGCAAATGGCGCCGCGGGGAGGGCTATACTATGTTGCCGACGTCATATCCTTTCCAGAAATTGTGTGTTGGTCCGCAGCCTCAGGGAGTCTGCCTGTTTTTCTACGAAGTAACTATCTCTTCTTCCACTTTCGACCCTATCGAGGAATCCTCCTTTATGCAAAAAAAAGATAAGGTCAGTTGAGGGAAGTATGAGGAGTACTGCTAATTCTGAAAGACTTCGGCGTTTGCATTCTCTGTTTTCAAGGAAAGAAGATATCGCAGCTGCCAGTAAACGCCGGTCTGCCGTATGGAATATTTCTGACGTTGTGCTAAGAAGCTTGCGAATTATGGCGGTACGGCAGTCCAAGGCATTCCCTAGATTGAGCACACGGTGCTTTTCATGGTACACGCAGAGAAGAAGGGTTGTAGATCAGGTTACGTGGGTGTTGGTCATGGCCACAATCACAAATCGAGCCGCCCATCTTCATAGACTCGACGGCACCGAAGGGCTCTTTGGATCTTTTATTTGATTTTTTTTTCGAACTTCAACGTTTTTGGAATCTTCTCTTCACTTTGACAGTGCTTCATTGTAAATTCGGTGCAATACAGTGGGATGGGCAGCCGTATTTTTTGAATACAGTAGGCGCGAAATTTATGTGAGGACTTCTGCTCGCTACTACAACGTGACGAAACGCTAGGAAGTAAATCGCACATTCCAGCTTGTCATGTGACTGCCCTCACCCCCCCCCCCACCCTCCTAGATAAGCTACACTACACCTGGCTCACGGATTTCCTCTATTCTCGTGACACCCTGGCAGGGCAGTCTCCACTTACATCCATTTCGTGCCTACCGTATTCCAGAAAGACAGCGTGCCCATCCCACCTGTTTTGCCTTCATTTCAATTCACAATTTGGATGCATTTCTTTTTCTTCACTACTTTCTACGCTACTTGCACTTTACCTTTCATGAGTGAAAGTGTGGTCGTAGTTGTAGAGACGAAATGAAGGTCACACAGCGAGAGGGAGGCGTACCGCGCCGACAACGCCTTGAGAAGTGCTATGCTAGATCGCCGGACATATCCGTCACCGTGGATTACTTGTCCACCTGCATCCCTAGGGAGTCCACTAGGACCTGTTTTCCATGGTGGATTCCCTCTTTTCGACCCTTCGAGCTTTTTTGTGGGATCCTCCTCTGACCCGGCAACTTACCATCGTAGAAATCCAAACAAGAAATGCTACATTAGATCTCCGTGAAATAGAAAACACATAGAGTGCGTCTTTCTGGAAAGGAAAAAGCTCTATCTGCTATGACGAAGGATTCCTTCATCTGATGTTATTACAAAAACTTGTCACTGAATGGGTCTGTTTGTGAGCCAGGACATCAGTATTGCGGCGACGCGACAGCAGCGGCGCCCGAGTACAATCGTGCGCGGCTGCTGCGACGCGAAAATACTATAGCAGGATCTATGTGTCGGAAAACTAGGTAAGATTTACCACTCGCGGTGAGCCGGCCTAATCCTCTTACTTGCTCACTCCCACCGAATTCACAGCCGTTCTCACAGATAGAACTCGTCCATCCACTCCTCTCCCGTTCACCCCAAATCCCATGTACTTAAAATTCCTACCTTCAGACAGTCATTTCACAACGGCAAACTGCTAAGTCGTACATGGCTGACATTAGGGAGGTTATACTTCATACATAAAAATGCGTCCCATCCTCATTAATGTTCAAAAAACAGAAGTCGGAAAAGTGCGACAGAAAAGAAAACATGTTGAAGATAAAAACAGAACAAATCGAAGTGGTCCTTTTGTCGGCTCTCCATTTCGGTACAGTTGGGCCAGCATGGTTTCGTTCTTCTTGGTAAAACTTCCTTACAAAGAGTCATAGGCTTCATGATCAAGTGCTTTGAATATGGGCCACACATTCGACTGTGGTTGAAAAATTGACAAGTTAGGGAGGGGCGGGGTGGGCGTAAAGGTACTGGTCACGATCAGACCCTCATCGAAACCCTCCATGAGTGGGGTAGCATGATTCCGAATCACAGTTAAGGGGATACTTCGCGACTTCAAAGTGCACGACAAGGAAGACAATGCCGTTGCTTGACCGCTGCGACCGCTGCCATTTTTATCAATTGCAGCATACGCGGCGTTTGCACCTTCTGCCTACGACGTGCTCTTTCGTGTCCTCCCTCTCCTTGAAGCGCTCTAGCCAGCTTCGTACATGTCAACCTTACAGGAAGAGTGTTCTCATGGTGCTTTGTGCTTTTTGCTTTTTTCTGAGCTAACACTACTCCTGCGCTTGTTGTCTCATTTTCAAACAAAATAACACACTAATTCGATCGATATAGGTGACTTTAAGGCAATTTAGCCCTTGCCGCCCTCATGTATTACAGAATTCTATACTGTAGTAAAATGAAATTGAGATCTTGCCGAGCATCATTTAGCAGATAGAGCAGATAGGAACAGCTTTCAGAGAGCCATTGAGACCCAGTACCATAATCTTGTTTTAATGGGTGACGTTTCTCCCATTTCTTTCAAGGTTGTATTATTTATCGCTCTAAAATATTCCATTCTAACGTTTTAATATCCATTCTTTCAAATAATTGCGACAGTGGCTTCTCAAAGCGGATATTTCAAAAACCATGCGCTTTCAACATACGGAAGCTAGTGTTTGTGGGGCTCTCCCGGACAATAGGGCAATAGAATTTCTCTATAAGCATCGCCCGCTGCATGAGTTTATAGTTTGCTTTCATACACCCAGGCTACATCAACGAATTATTTTTTCCTTTCAATGTTTCAAGAGACCATTTGAGAGCATAAGTGATAAGAAATAAAGGGGTAGAGAGATAAACGGTAGCGAAGAAAGTGCAAATGAGCAACGCCAAAACTTAAACTACTGTGAGAAAATTATCTATTGTTCTATGAAAGCTACTGAGAGGTGCGGAACAATTCACAGTTCGGGGTTTCATTCTTGTGTTTTCAAATATCCAGTAGGAAATGTCTCATTAGTTAGTTGGAAATATGTAGCAAACGTGAATACAATCGGCTACCGTACATATGCATGCGAAGCAACTACTTTGGTACATCATGTGTACACAAAAACGCAACAACAGAACCCCAAATAGTGCTTGTGTCATTTTGTTCTTCCGTGTGGAATCGTGCACTACATG